GAGCCGGAAGAAGCCATACGGAGCCCGACGGAACACGACAGAGCTCAAAAGGGAAAGGGAAAGGCGACAGGATGAGCCCGACGAAGCCTGACAGAGCCCGACTAGAGGAGGGAGGAGGACAAGGAAAGGAGGAGGGAGGATGACAAGGGGAGATGCGGAGCCCGACGGAGCCCAATCGAGCCCGCAAGAGCCCCACGAGAGCCTCGCGAGAACCCCTGGGGGGGCCCGGCGAGAGCCCCGCGTGAGCCCCACGAGACCCCGAGCGAACCCCGAGGAACGCCCGGCGAAATCCTTGCGGGGAACCCCATGAGAGCCCCGCAGGAACCCCGCGAGAGCCCGACGAGCGAGCCCCACGAGACCCGTGGGAGCCCAAAAAAGCCCCACGAAAACCCCGCGAGGCAACGCCGGCCCCAAAGACAGTGCTCGAGAGAGGCAGGCCGCGTATTTTGACGGTCGATCCATCTTCACCACATGTAGGATGCACTTGTGCATCGTTCTCGTTCTTCACTGGCCCATGCACGTGTTTTTCGTTACCCGCCCATGTATGCATATTTCCATATGCTGGCCGATGCTCAATGTCGTATTCTAAACTGGTTAATGCTCACATGGTCGCACGCACATTGGCCCATGCATATCTTGCGCACGTCTGTGGCGAAGGTCCCTTTGCAGCTTAACTGTTATACATGTTGAAGCACCCGCAAGTTCCTTGATCGGCAATGCAATTTGGGCCGATGGGTCGAAGGGCCGTCGGCAGTCGTCTGCAGAAAGCACCCCCTGTCAGCGCGCGCAGGGATGCCGAGGGCGACTGACATGGCTGAGAAACACTCGCCCGACTCACTATGTGAGCCTCCCGGGCGCGACACTGGGAGGAAGCCTCCGAGTGCCTGCAGGGCGGTGCATGGCAATTTGTGAGCGCTTGACAGTAATGGCCACCTGTGAGTGTTTTGCAATGTCGGGAAAACGTTGGCGGGTCACTTCCAAACCACGCCAAAATAATGACCACACGTTTAAGACGACTCTGCCGCTATCATGCAATGCGCATGCCGTTGGGCATGCACCGGGCCCCGCCCCGCGCAATCGCCATGGCCACGAACCATTCTGGCGAGATGCGCAACCATGGGCATACGCGCGCCCGCGATTCAGCCACCCCCCTGGAGAAGGAGGGGGCAAAACCATAGCGCCCGAATCCAACAAAACGGCGATGAGCAATGAGTTCGGAGCGCGAGTCCAGCGCGCGCCGCAAAAACGAAACAAGGAAAAAAAAAAAAGAGCATGAAAAAACACCATTAGTGGATCCTAGCCTCGGGGAGAGCTGAGTAGTTGTAGTAATGGTACTGCTGGTAGTAATACTAATCGTCGTCGTAGTTGTCGTCGTAGTACAAATAGTAGTCGCAGTAGTAGTCGTAGTCGCAATAGTAGTGGCAATCGTAATCATGATATGAGCAACAATTGTGGTAGTGATAGCAGTAGCAGTAGTAGTAGCAGTAGTAGTAGTAGCCGTCGTCGCCGTAGTAGTAGTAGTGGTAGTAGTAGTAGTAGTAGTCGTCGTAATAGTAATAGTAGTACTACTGATAGTAATACTAGCAGTGGTACTGGTAGTAGCAGTAGTAGCAGTGGTCGCAGTAGTAGTGGTCGTAGTACTCGTAGTAATCGCAGTCCTGTCGTAGCAGTAGCGGTAAAAATCGTAGTAGCAGTAGTAGTAGTAGTAGTAGCAGTAGCAGTATCACTAGTCGTAGTCGTCGTCGTCGTAGTAATCATAGTGGTAGTGGTAGCAATGTGGGGTAATAGTAGCACTAGTTATCGTAATAGTAGTATTAGTAATAGTAATAATAATAATGATAGTAATAGAAATAGTAATAGTAATAGTACTATACTACTAGTAAGCATAGTAATGGTAGTAAAAGTAATACTAGTATTAGCAGTAGTAGTGGTAATAGTAGTAATAGTCGCTGCCGTAGTCGCAGTCGTAGTCGTATACGTAAGAGCAGTAATGGTTGTAGCAGTAGTAGTAGTGGTAGTAGTAGTAGTAGTAGTAGTGGTCGTAGTAGTAGTAGTAGTAGTAGCAGTAGTCGTAGTAGTGGTAGTAGTAGTAGTACTACTACCAGTAGTGTGAGTCGTCGTCGTAGTAGTAGTAGTAGCAGTAATAGTGGTCGTAGTAGTAGTAGTAATAATAATAATTGTAACCGTCGTAGTCGCAGTCGCAGTCGCAGTCGTAGTCGTTGTCGTAGTCGTAGTAGTAGTAGTCGTAGTAACAGTGATAAGAGTAGTAGTACTAGTAGTAGACAGAGTAGTAGGAGGAGCAGTAGTAGTAGTAGTAGTAGTAGTAGTCGTAGTAGTCGTAGTCGTAGTAGTAGTAGTAGTAGTAGTAGTAGTAGTAGTAGTAGTAGTAGTAGTAGTAGGGTAGTAATAGTAGCAGTAGTAGTAGTAGTAGCAAAAGAAGTATTACTTGTAGTAGTAGGCTTAGTAGTAGCAATAATAATACCAGAAGTGGCAGTGGTACGATTAGTGCCAGTTCTACAACTAGTAGCAGCAATATGTTTAGCACCAGTCCTCGTACGACCAGCAGTAGCAGTAGCACTAACAGTAGTAGCAGTAGCACGGCCAGTACGAGTACAGCTGGCAGCAGCAGTAGTACCAATAGTACTCGTACTCGTAGTGGTCCTGCTTCAAAAGTCTGCAGGGCGAGCAGGCATCTAGGCCACCCCACTTCACGCACCGCGCAGGGCCATGCGCGGCGCGCGGCCTCTTCGCGCCCCCGCCACCGCCCGCCCCCCGGCGAGGGGCAGGCCAGCTCTGGCCCCTGACCGCGGCGCGAGCAGCGCGCTTCGCCTTCGCGACCCCGCCGGGGGACCTTCTGTGACTCCCCAAGCTTGTTTTTAGAAAAAACAAAACAAACAAAAAAAACGCACACGCATCAAAAGGATCGAGTCCGAAGCCTTGATGATCCGTGACAAGACGGTCGACCGAAGCCGCACGACCCTAAGAGAAATCCGGAGATCGCGATGTCGAAGACAACACACGCGAAGGAGAGATACCTCTCGAAATGCTGTGTTTGAAACGCTGTACTCGAACATATTTTCTCGGCGGCGCACCGGGGGGGAAGCTGGCGTCACCCACACCCACAGAGGAGGGAGGAGGACGAAGACGAGGAAGGGGCAGAGGCAGGGGGATACCGACTGCCCCTGGAGGCTCAGGAGGTTTCGATCTCTGGAAGCCCCTTTGGTAGGTTAGTCGGCGACGAGCCTGGACGGGAAGGTCAGGAGGGGCGGCCCTTCTCAGAAGGCTCAGAAGGCCCCCAGCCTTCTGAGGCTTCTCTAAGGGCTTCCCCGAAGGCGCGGAAGACTTCTCAGCGGGCGCGAGGGCTCCTGAGAAGCCACGCCGCCTTCTGAGAAGGCCGTCTCCTTCTCACTTCCCCCCCTTCGCTCGCTGCCGAGGTCTGCAAAGGGTGTGGCTGGCAGCGGGCACCTTGGGGGGCGCTCCGGGCTCCTCCTCCTCTCCTCCTCCTCCTCCTCCTCCTCCTCCTCCTCCTCCTCCCTCCTCCCTCCTCCCTCCTCCTCCTCCCTCCTCCTCCTCCCTCCCCCTCCTCCCTCCTCCCTCCTCCCTCCTCCTGCTCCTCCTCCTGCTCCTCCTCCTCCTCCTCCTCCTCCTCCTCCTCCTCCTCCTCCTTGGGGCCTACTCGGAGGGAGTGTACGATAGGGGGAGGGGGGGGGGGACACAACCTCGAGAGGGATGCGTCCGAGCAGCCCCCCAGAGGGGGGGGGGGTATCACCAAGTCTCCCCATCATCTCTGGGCGGCCCGATTTATGCGGGAAGGGGGAGGCATCGGGGGCGAGGGGAGGCCTGCGAGAGAGAAGCGCTCGGTTTGCAGAAGGTTAGGTCGGGCATGCCCCCCTACAGGCGGATTTGGGACGAAAAATTCAAAATAGTCCACAAAAAGATTCAAAAACAGTCCAAAAATAGTCGAAAGATCGTCCCCAGACTATTGTTTGACTATCTTTGAACACTCCTCAAGCATAAGGGGGAATGTTCGGCCCTCCCGGGAGGCCACAGGTGAAGGTCTTGGTCAGGCGGTACTCCACGTCCCCGAAGAGCTGGCCGGAGGCGTAGAAGCGGCTGCCGCGGAGCTTCGTCATGCTGTCCTGCTGCAGGCACTCGAACTTGCTGGAGTCGTGCGTGTTGAAGATGAGCACCGTGGACTGGGGCCACCGCCGGATGCACTGGCTAGACGGGCTCGCGGAGACGTGGAAGTCGGACCTGCGCGGCTCGCTCTTGTCGGTCAGGATGCCCGGGTGGCTGACCGAGCTGTTGCAGTGGACCACCATGTCCCACTCCCGAAGCTGGCCCTTGTAGCGCACCTCGTACATGCCGGCGATGGGCCCAGTGGGCTGTGCCCTCAAGCACTCTGGATCCCTGGGGCCCTCGACCTCAGCGCCTGCCCGATCGTCGGCCGATCACTTCACCCGATCACGTGAGTCGATAGTAGCCCTGATCACGATGGCCTCCGCACCGATCACGGATCGATCGCGCAGTCAAGCTCGGACGATCACGTGATCGGACCGGACCGATCGTGTGTTCGGCGATCGCGTGAGCCCCCGATCACTTCGGCCTGCGATCGCGGGGTCAGCAGACACTGAGCCCTCGACATGATAGTCCGAGCTGTGGTACCTCCCCCGCTTCGACATCATGGTGCAGCTCCCGGTTTTGAGCTGCAGCGTCCAGTACTGGCACGCGTCCCTCTGCGCGCACTCTCGCGCGCAGTCCTTGGCGGATCGCTCACTGCCGAGGCCTAATCAAGAGACGAGCTGCCTGCGAAGCCCAGGCCAGCTTTCTGGTAACATCACCTACGCTCGGGAACGTATGCTGAGCGTGTCGCGGCGGCGGCCCCGGCGACTCGCGATGCCCTGCCAGCGGATAGCGTGTCGCTCCGCTCTGCGGGCCGGGAGGCTGGGAGATGCTCGGGACGTCGACGCCTGGTGACCAGGACGCGGTCAGCGTGTCGC